CTTTGAAGACAGGGACGTGGAGGCTGGGGAAAAAAGCCTGGCACTGTTTTCTTTGTGACAGCGCCAGTTCAATTACTTGTGTTGCAGGGGGTTGGATTCGTTTTTAATCGTGGTTAATGATGGAGCATTACTTGGTCTTTTCTTGCCATTCTTAACGTAGTGAATAGAGGAGAGATGTCTGTGCGGTGTTACACTGGTATCTCTGAAATTTAGGCTTTGTTCCAGGCTTCTGAAATTAATTTGGCCAAATCTATTTATGTTTTTCTGTGTCTCAGTCCACTATCTGTAAAATGAGAACAATTAATGTTCCTAACTTTTAGGGAGACCTTAAGGATTTATGTGCAGAGTATGGCACATTTAGATTCTATAAGTTTGAAAAGTCTGGGAAAAAAACCCACAGCAAAATAAAACTAACAGAATGTAAAAAGGTAAATCATATTCACTGTGCCTCTGTCACTATTTGGTAGCAGCTATTATCAGTCGCTGCTTTATTTCATTGAATTTAAGCCCTGACATTAAGTTGCTGTTAACAGGGTCGATAGCAGCGGCAGAAGAAAACAGCAGCACTGTGATAAGACTTAGAAAAATTCAGAGTTTCTCCAGGTTGTCTGTTGTTCTCTCAGAGCAGAGATTAAAACCAGTGTTTAACATACGGCTGTTCTTACCGTGTCCGTTTGTCGTGCCCGGAGTCAGGAGCACCTTTCAAGTAGTGGACGGTGGCTGCCTCTGACCTTTGGGTGGTTAAATCAGGGTGTACCTGCCTGTTGAGGTGTGGGTCGCGTTCGGTCTAGTTCCTGAAAAAATGAAGCCTCTAAGTGATCCTCAGATCCGGGGTGTAGTTTACCTGTAGTTTACCTGTGGTTTATCGGTGGTGTCTGCAAAGGCTGCGATACGGCACATGCTGGGGTCCGCAACGAGCAGAGCTGATGGTGTCTGTGTGATTTGCTCTCCCCTGCATTAGTAGGAATCAGCCTTTTTTTGGCAGAGCACAGAGAAATGCAAATGTCTCAGCTTTACAGAGTTGACGTTTGCTCTCCATTTGCTTTAGGTTGAGTAGCTCCACTGAGCAAAGTACTTCATCCCGGCTCATTCGGAAGCATAAACGCAGGAGGAGGAAACAAAGGATGCGGCAGATCGACAGGGTAAGTGGCATCATAATTTTCCGAGGAGGTGAACCGGGACTTTTGAGATGAGCAGGTGAATTAGGGAGGGATCCAGAACAGGTCTGTGCTCCGGTGAATTCTCTGGGAAGGCTCCCTTGGGCTCCAGTGTACCCTGGACTAAATCTTGAACATTTGAAGTTCTGCAGCACTAGAGTCAAGACTCTTTTTCCCCTCTCCCTTTCTCCTTTTGCTGTTAAGTGATCCCATTTCTTCTGGTCTCTTTCAAGACCAGGCTCAGCAGGAGAACCTCTGTTATGGCACCGGCTGCTGTGGGCAAGGGCTGTCTGTGGGGTTACACACCCGATGTATAAGTTCCTGTGACTTGCATTCTGCTGAAAGGAAAAATGTACATTTCTAGGAAATTCCACATGTTTTCTTCTGCCCTTTTCTGAGCTAGTCCTACAGTAGCAGAGTGAGGACTGTCCAAATGACATTCCTCTTGAAGTAACTGTTTTGTTTTCCTATAAATTCCGGTTCTTACAGATCGAAGAATGACTGTGCATGCATTTTACCACAAGATCTAGAGTAAAGTTTTAGAAGATATTCGATAAGCACATTTGTATTTAGTTTTTGACGGGGGGAAGCAGTGCCTGTCTCCTCCAGAAGGAGCGTGTGTTGTTCATTCCTGTGTTTAGGGAGGAGCTGTGGATGTAATAACTCACACTGTAGTATTTAAATGTCTGCCCGTCAGTCATAGTCAGTCCGGAAGCAGAAATGATTCAAGGTGAAATTCAGTTGAGAAACCTCAGTATAGGAGCTTGCTCTGTATGTTTTGTAAGCAAATCTTAGGAGAAAGTGCAGATTCTGTTCAGATTCTAAATGAAGAGTAAATTGAAGAGGCCACAAGGGTTTCTGGATGAGTTCCAAACGGAAACCTATTGATCAGTTCTCGATGAATTAATTGTCTTATTCTGAGCCGTTTATAACCTTGAGAATTTTCTGTTGTGTTTTGCAGTCGTCTTCGTTCAGCAGCATCACTGATTCTACCATGTCCCTAAATATCATCACTGTCACACTCAACATGGGTAAGAGGAAAAGCCTTGTTTGTTATGATGAACTCAGGTGATGTAGATGCATTTTATTGTGGTGTAGTAGCCTGTGGAGCCAGTAGAAAGTTCCTTGATTTGAAAGGATGCCAGCTGGACTAAAAGGAGTGGCAGCTGAGGATCACTACTTTGCTGGCTCTGCTTGGATTCCTACTCCAGGACTGGAGAGGTCGGAGCCGTTTGCACGAGCAGTTCAGAATTCTTCCCGAGAAGCCCAGGGCAAGAGCTGGAATTCCAGGGTGCGGAGTTCTGCTCCTACTTCTAGGAATGGTCAGGGGTCAGATGTTAGAAGCAAGAGTGGAGGGGCACTGGAGGTTTGCATTTGTGCTGCTCGTGTGTTCCAGTGGTTAGCCAGACAGAAATCTGCAGGGTTGCCAGTTCAGCACCTTTCAGTAGCACCAAATTCTCCTGCCGCTCTGACGGGTGGAAAAAACATTGGCTGATGCTGATCGGCTGCCTAATTTCTAGGTGTAGACATGTCGTTTCGGTGTCATTTCTCATGCTCGTTTTTTGAAAGTAACTTTTCAGTGTCCTGTATGAAAAAAATAATGTCTTTAGCAGCGTTTCCCTGACCGTGCCAGGCAGACGTGTGCCAATAGGGTAACCTGAGATAACTGTAAGTCAAATGCGGTCCAGCTGATGTGTTGCTTTTTCAAGATTGAAGTAGCCTGATGTTAGTTCTTCACTGCTATTCCAAATGCTTTGTTTGCTTTTTTCCCTTCCCCCACCCTCCACTTTCTCTATATAGAAAAGTATAACTTCCTGGGAATCAGCATTGTGGGACAGAGCAATGACCGGGGTGATGGTGGCATTTACATCGGCTCGATTATGAAAGGAGGGGCTGTGGCAGCGGACGGCCGAATTGAACCAGGAGACATGCTTCTGCAGGTTGGTCCACGTCCAAAAATACAGGCTGCTGGCTTGTATGTTAGTGGCTCAGCTCAGTCATCCCACCACGGGCTTAGTAATCAGTTCACGGAATTCATTTGTGCTCAGAGAAACATGTCGCAAAGGCCGTTGTCGCTTAAATCTGTAATTCTTTGTGAACTCGATAGTTGACGTGCTCTGAGAAACAGTATTTCTGCAGCTGCTCAAAGGAGTGGAAACAATTACAAGGCAAATAAATTTGGGAACATGACTAAAATGTTTTTAGCTTTCCTGCTGCAAAGCCTGACCTCTGCTTTTTGCAACCTTTCAGGTGAACGACGTCAATTTTGAGAACATGAGCAACGATGATGCAGTGCGGGTTTTACGGGAAATAGTCTCCAAACCAGGGTGAGCATATTACAAAATCTCTTACTACCTGTCCTCCACATGCAGGGATTGGTGTTGGCCAAACCTCAGAAATCAGCATTTTGATCTCACTAAGCAACCAGTGTGACTGCTCATCCCAACTCTGAACTTCTCAGCGTAAATGGTGAATGGGTGAGACTGGTTCCAAGGTACCAGCCAAAACCGACACAAACAAGGAGGCGCCTGGTTTCAGTAGCACTGTTTGTTTATGAGTGTTTTAATATCTCAAGAGCTGATCATTCAGTAGTTTTCACCTGTAGTGCTCATGATCTGTGCAAACCCAGGAATGTCCTGATGCTGGTTCATACTGAAAAGTCTTCGACAAGCGGCTCGGAAGCATTGTCAGAGTGTACTTGATGGCTGTTGGATAGGAATAAGTTTGTTTCGGAGAGTTCATTGTAGCCATTACAACTTCTGTAGGAAAAGTTAAGAGTCACCCTTACTTGTTTTCTTTCTTCGTAGACCTATCAGCCTAACAGTAGCCAAATGCTGGGACCCTACTCCCAGGAGTTATTTCACCATCCCCAGGGGTGAGTACGTATTTGTGCTCTTCGCTGGGTTCCTGTGGAGCTCTCAAGGTCTAGAATATTCTCAGCTATTTTGGCATCTAATGGGTTGCAATTTCCTGCAAGTTTGATACTTTTCTTTGGTTGTATTGTTTGCTTTCTGTTTTGGGAGGCAGGATTTAAGATACTCTTTCTGAGACTTCAGTGCTGCTGAAAACACTGAAAGGGGAATTCCGTGATGTCTCATCTCTGCAAATACAGAGCTCTAGAGTTCCCATTCTGATTCACCTTGAGCAGAAGATTCACCTTCTGTCTGAGTGGTTATTTTAGATCCAAGACCCTTAGAAGCAGAGAGAGATCTTCCCGTCAGTTGAGGCAAAGCATTTGGTAGTAGTTCAAGGCACAGCAAAATGAGAGTTGTGGTGAAATATTATACCTGGACTGATGGCTTCTTTCTCACAAAGGGAAACGTTGCACTCCTACAGGTATGGGAACAGGAGTGTCGCGGGTTCATCCCGTCAGGCTGGCGTGGCAATTGCTAGAGGAAGGGGGCTGCTGCTGGCGAGGTGCTTTTAGTTCCCTTCTTCTGGGGCTATCTCAGGTGTACTGTCAGAACGGCAAGGACTTGTGCACCCCAAAATAATTCCTTCTTCCTCTAGCTCCTCATATTTACCGCAAATCTGATTCCGTTTGTCTCTTCTATTTTTTTTTCCCCCCCTCCCTTTCTGGTTGTTCTGCAGCTGAACCAGTGAGGCCAATCGACCCTGCGGCGTGGATCTCTCATACCACAGCCATGACGGGAGCGTACCCCCGTTACGGTATGAGCCCCTCCATGAGCATCACCACATCTACCAGCTCCTCACTAACAAGCTCAATTCCCGATTCGGAAAGTAAGTCACACTGCGGCCAGCACAGGGCAGGCGTCTTCTGCTCGGGGCCAGCAGTGCAGAGCTGTGCGCAAACCCGACCCCGGCCACAAGCACGATGAAAACGACGGCCGCCACAGAACTCTTGAATGCTTTCGTAAATTTGTGATTCTTGCGGGGAGCCTAAAACCTTTTTTCCAAAGGTCAGAGGTTAACGCGGTGGTGTTTTGCCAGGGCTCACGTTCAGGAAGAGGTGGCTTCTGGTCCCTTTTTAAGGTTACAAGGCAGGCCTCCAACTTTGTGTCCCCCCCAGATGAACTTGAGAGTTTCCTCCTTGTATTTGACTGTAATAAATTTAAATAATTTGCTTCAGATAGATGTCACTGGATAATAACGTTAGGAACTCCCCCACTGGTATTGACATAGGCTTCTTTTTTATATTGTGTCCCATGTGACATTATGGTTAGAAGTCAGCCTTTTTTCCTTGTTTGTCTGTCTGTGGCAGTCTCTAAACTAGTCGTATCCACGTACCCAACAAATTGGCATAATTCCTTATCTTGGAAATTTTTTTTTTTAAAGAATACAAACCATTTCTTTTACTTTTCCTTTGCATTCTGATATAAGCATGGGACAAAAGCTCGCATTTGATTCAAAATACATGGCAGTAAGGCAAGACAAATAAACGAGGAGCTTGTGTCTTTGAGAACACTGTCCACTGAAGTCCTGGTTCAGGAAAGTATTTATATTTAACTCGGCGCTTCTCTGTGCTTCACATCAAAGTTTTGAGGTACTTTCCACCTCATTAGTGTGTGTTCGTTTCCTGTAGTATTAATGTGGAAGAATTTCTCTAGAGATGCAACCTTTCTATCAGATTCGTTAATCTGTAGCAAGGAGATTTATTATATTTTTTTTACATACAGGTAGAAATCTTAAAATGGCTTTAAAGTTCTGCAGAGATAATCTTTTTTGTAGAACAATGCTACCTTGGCATGTATGCACTGAAACCCAGATAAATACTTCCATGTTTAACAAGGGATGCTTCAGTGTCTGCCACATCTGGGGTCTAAATTTAGGACTGAGTAACTTTTTTTCATTTTGTAAGATTTTTCCAGAGGGAAAGGGGAGTATCATTTAGAAAAAAACCCCAAGAAAACAGATCAAAAAGAAAAACAGTACTTAGAGGATTTTAAAGGCGAATGTGGTGTTGGTGATTAGTGACAGAATCTCCCCTGGACAAATGCGTGGCTGAAGCGTGGAAGCTGCATTTGCAGGGACCAGTTAAGTCCTGACAGACTACGCAGGTGTCTGCCTCTTTCTTCTGCCCTCTCTCAGATTTTATAAGCTCCTAATTCCTGGAATTACACCTGGAATTGAAAGGGCAGTTACCCTTTTTGTAGGTGTGGTAGCCTGGTGCCTCTTTAGATAGCAGGCAGCGCCGCAGAAGGGAAAGTCCAGCAGCAGCACAAAGCAAGTGACCCACTCACCTGACGACTGCTTTTTCTTGAGATGTGTTTTCAGCCTTACAGGTACTAAAGGTTGCTGGAATCAAATGTATCTGCTGATTGCTTTCAAGAGTCTGTTACTCTGCATTCCTCTTGAGCTATTCATGTACTGTGTTCTTTCATATATAGCGATGTGATTGGGAAGCGTGGAACGCAAACACCCTCTCAATCATATTTTTAAAATAAAGGTTATTTGGGAGCAGAACCACATTTCTGGAGACAGCTTCTCATTTCTATGCCGGAGACTTATGACGTTTCCTTTCCTGAATGTAAGAAAACCTGGACCTTCCTTGTGCTTTGTGAGTGTTGAACTTGCTGCCTCAGCCAGTGCAAACTCTGCTCCCCGTTTACTCTGCTAAAGGTAGATTTTTCCAGCCCAGTGGCTACGACAGGACCCCTTTCTGCAAAGTAATCCTGTCCCATTCCATGAAATTAACTTCAGGTATTTCAGTGTTTCTTGTGAAGTCGTGCTGTTTCAAAATACAGTTCACTGACATTGTTGGAAAGTTCTCTTTTTCTCTTGCACGGACTTCAGAGGATTTTGAATTGAGACCTCAGACTATTTCTTCAGCCTGAGATGTTGCCTAATTTCCTGGGGCCTTTTCGTTTGGGCCAACGTGTGCTTCCTTGCTCGATTAAGGAGACGAGCCGGTGGTGGTGTTACAAGTGGCAGGACTTTGTTTCCCTAGAACGTACACCACCTCTTTTATTACCAGGATCTGCTAGTGGGAGAAAAATACCACTCAAAACCTATAACTGAAGCCCTGAGGGAGAGCTTTGCCGTAGATCTGGTTCCCCAGAAAGAAGTTTTGTCTGTGCTGTTCCTCGGATTTGCACGTACCTGTACAGCTGATCGGGTGCTCAGGCCCGAAGTGGGTGCATTTTAGCTGCACCTTAGAATTTTTCATATTTGTACAGCAGCTGGTGGACTTGGAAAATGTTGATGATCATTTGGGCAGTGTTGTTCTCGCAGGTCTCCAAGAAAATGCAATTTATTGCTCCCCACCTACTTTACTTGAATATTGATTTGTTGGTTTGTTGTTTTTTTTCCCCCCCAAACAAACATGTTGCTTTTTGCCACTAACCAAACTAACTTAAAGCAAAAGCAAATTTTTAGTGTTTGTTCAAACTGTGTAAGTATCGAAACCGCATGCATAGACACTGTGGGATATTTTCATGCGTTTTAGCAGTGCATGTATGGAAAGAAGCATTTTCAGTTTTCATTGTTTCATGCTTGTTATACCTTTTATCAAAATTTTGCGTTGCTGGAAAAGGACAAAATTGGTTCCCTTGTGCTTTGAAAAGGTGGGTGATATGGGGAGCTGGGAGAAGGGAGGGAAGGAGGGTTTTTTTTTTGGAAAGGGAAAGATTTTTATTAGGAAGGACACTAGCCTTTATCCTGATGATGGAACATTTCTTTTCTACTCTGAATTCTCCCCAATTACGCTGGTGTCCAAATCTTAAAATAACAAATGGACAGTGACTGAGACCTCCTCCAGGGTTCCTGCTCTGGCAGGGGGGTTGGACTAGATGATCTTTCGAGGTCCCTTCCAACCGCTAACTTTCTGTGATTCTGTGAGACATGGGCATCAGCTCCCTCCACGCAGGTGGGCGTTATTCCTGACAATTAAACCAAAATTACAGAACAAGCCAGAAAAAAGCTTCTCCTGCCGAGTTGTGCTTGTAGTGCCCTGAGCTGCAGGTGGGCAGGGGCTGTTCGTGGAAGGCAGCGGTCACACAACTCCTTGGCTCTCCTTGTCTGCAGGTCTCACTGCAGGGGGGACTGAAAGAGCGATGCTGATCTGCAGCTGGGTTGTGCAGTCAGGACCTGCAGGGACTCAGCATCTCACTGGCCAAACTGGTTGCAGTGAGCACAAACTCGGAAGAATTGGCACAAATGCTGCGACTTAGGCCATTGACGAGGGCGTGTTTGGGAACCTTTGTGTCTCTTTTTGCATCTGTTGGTAAAGCTGTGTCTTGAAATGTTTCATCCAGATTAGGGGCTGAGAAGTTCTTTTCAGACTCAGTTAATTTCAAAGCAGCGTGTAACCTTTCTCCCTTTTAGAATTAGAAGAATCTCCCTTAACTGTGAAGAGTGACATGGCTACTATTGTCAAGGTTATGCAGCTCCCAGACTCGGGCCTTGAAATTCGGGACAGGATGTGGTTAAAAATTACCATCTCCAATGCGGTGATAGGTAAGCAGGTCAGAGGGATTCTGGGCGGAAAGAACAAACCAGTGGCTTTTTGGAAACAGGCTGAAGAAACTGTCTTTATATGAGCTTCTTCGGACTATTTTCTGCGTGCGGATTTGGTGTCTCTGCCAGCGTAATATTCAGCCAGATGCAGGATAATTCTTTGCTTTGTTTATTGATGTTTGGTGGTAACTAATTCAGCAGTTAGGCTGAGTCACGAAAATAACGTTTTAAGCTCTTTTCGGAAAGGTTGTTACGTATTCGTATTTGCGTTCAGTCCCTGGTGTAGCAGCACTAGCGGACTGTGTGATAACGTGAAGATTAAAAGACCAAAAAAGATGAGTTTGGCTCAGATGATCCCATGTCTCCTCTTCCTCTTCTCATTTCAGGAGCAGATGTGGTTGACTGGCTTTATACACACGTGGAAGGCTTCAAAGACCGACGGGAGGCTAGGAAATACGCCAGCAGCATGTTAAAACACGGCTACCTCAGGCACACTGTGAACAAAATCACCTTCTCGGAGCAGTGCTATTATGTCTTTGGAGACCTCTGTGGCAGTAAGTTCCCCGGCAGAAGGGCAGAGTGAGCTGCTGGGTAAGAACTCTGTCCTCAGCTTTTCTCTCTTTTCCAGATATGGCTGCGCTGAACCTTAACAACGGTTCTACCGGAGCCTCGGATCAGGACACCCTCGCTCCACTTCCGCATCCTGCTGCTCCCTGGCCGTTAGGCCAAGGATACCCGTACCAGTATCCTCTGCCCCCTCCGTGTTTTCCACCAGCATACCAAGACCCAGGCTTTAGCTACGGTAGCGGCAGTGCAGGAAGCCAGCAAAGCGAAGGTAAGGGGGTTAATCTGGCGTTTATTCCTACAGCTGTCATTACCCCTGGCCATTTGCTTGAGTTCCTTCGTACTGTCTGTGCTCCTGTCCTGTGGTTCTATTGTGCTACCAGCATGGGTTTGGTGCCAGTGCACTTGGATCGAACCCTTTTGTGTGTGTGATGGAGTGGGTTAGCCTTTCAGCTCTGTACTGAAGCTGCCAGCGATGTTTTAACTGAGTAGAACAGAACAGAATCCCTGCTGGTTACGGTTACACTGTCGTTCCGTACCCCACGCAAAATGCCTGCGGGGAGCTAAAGCCAAACTGTTTGTCACGGCCGTGGTGGCACGAGCATCTCCACTTGCCTCACCCGACAGCACCACACAGCAAACTGCTGCTCAGATAATGCTGATCAGCCCAACGCTAATGGCTCAGTTGTCCACCCTGTTAAAACAGATAAACTGTCGCCCCCGCTTTGAGAGGTCAGAGCCATCGCCAGCAGCGGGGCTGCACTCGCTTGCTGTTGCTAGAAATGAGGCTGTTGCTGATGGAACAGGGCTTAGGACCAAGGTGCTCTTGGTTTTCACTTCGACGCTCAGCACAACATGAAAGTCCCGTTCCCTGCTTGTGTGAGACAAGCGTGAGGCGGCCAGCCAGACGGTTTACAGGGCTGAAACACTGCTCACAAGGAGGAGAATCCTGATTGTAATATATGACAGGGAAAAAAAAGAGAATACAGCATGGACTGAAAACCTCACCTTCTCCTTTCCTGCCCTTGGATAATTTTGTGTTTCATCTTTAAAGCTTCCTAAACAAAAATTATGTATTTTTTTACTGTACAAATTGATTGATTGGTTAAATCACTTCCAGAGTGAGTTTTGCTTTTGGAAATGCTACCAGTAGAGAAGGGTGAGGATTCTCTGTGTTTTTGTGGTGAACATGTAGTAACTTAGATGTAACTCCTTCCTGTTCACCACAGCCAGTTAGCTTTTGCAAAATTGCACAGAAGAGTTTTGTGACGGGAATTCTCTCACAAGATTTTAGCGCTATTGCTTCCCACTTTTGTTTGAAAAGTGTCTGTGAGGAAGCTCACAGTGGTATCCAGAGGTTTTAGAACTGCACGCTGGTTGTGCTGGAAAGAATGTGAGATTTGTTCTTGGCAGCTGGTTCTGCGGGCAGTGGAGTATTTGCTCTGTGCTGCTGGATGGGAAAGGTGCGGTGTTTTATCCATGCGACCTGTGTTACTGCGTAAGGAAAGCCTTGGTAATTTTGAGAGGTTTCACCACTTTCCTTGTTCTTCTTTTGGAAACTACACTTCTGTGTTGTTTCTTGTTTTGTAACTGTTATTCCCTTGTTTTGTTCTGAGCAAGCGTTAGACTGAAGGATTCATAGAGGAATGGCTGACTCTAGGGGATTGGTAAGCTTCACATGCCTCCATAATCAATGAATTCACAGCATGATCATTTAGACTCTTGTGACCCAAATGTTTAGCTGTACCTTTTATTTTGGTTTTTTTTTTCTCCCTTTTTAATTGTCTTGGACGCTCAGCCTGTCTCAGCGCACAGTAGTGCGGTAGCGAGGCGTTAGCATCCCGACCTGTGTGGCCCCAGCGTGACTCTGCTGCAGCAGCTACGGAGGGGACGGCCTCGGTACCTCCCTGCCAGCTCACAGGGGAAAGTCCTAACACCAGCCTCTGCACTGCTCTCCATGAAATAAGTACAGAAATAATCCCAGCTCCTAGTTTATTAGTCTGATAGTGGATTTATCTACCAGTGCCCTTCCACTGCTCATTTACTGAAATACACTTGAGCACAGCCCAGGTGTCTCAGGCAGGTACTGCGTGTGCTGGGACACAAGCTTGTGTCAGTTGTTCTTGTTACAAGGTGTCAGAATTCGTTTCTTGTGAAGTGTCTCTTTTTTTGTGCAAAGTTAGGTCATAACTGAATTCATGTGGTGAGCAAGAGCGCTGCTCCAGAGCCCAGTGAGTGTCGCGTGTTTTTGAGGTGAATGCAGTGTATTTGCTGGTGATTGCGGGCAAAAGTCTGAGATTTGGGTCAAGAGACAGACTGCAGCTGGGTTCTGGCAAGCGACAGATGGGGAGGAAGATCTAGCGAAGTTTTTTGTGGAGCTGCAGTTCCGCTCAAGGCTCTGTTCCAATTTAAGTTGCTGCTTATTTCACCTGAGCAACATCATCTGTCCCTGCTTGTGGTCCCCAGGGCTTAGGTTGTGTGGAAAGGCGCGGGCAGGTTTGCTGTGGGGGATGGCACTGGTGCGAGGGCCAGCTCCTCTGCAAAACGTCACCTCGGTACCCCAGCGCCCAGATCAGAGTCCCTTCCCTGTTCTGGCAGATGCTGCCTGTACAGGTGGACAGCGAGAGATCACCAGGTCACAGTCGGAAGAGTTTGAAGAAGTGGAGTGACAGGACTCAGCCACAGGCTGTGGAGCTTGCATCAAGGAGTAATGACTTTGGGCAAGGTTCAGAGGGTTTGAGTGGACAGTGGAATGCATCATGAGGTAAAGGCAGAGCCGTATGAGCTGTGGCAGCATTAAAATAAAATGTCGATTTTTCCTCCACGGTGAACAGTGCGCACACTGCAGAGCTTGCAAAGATGCTTCTTGGAGATAATCCCTGTGTTGTTCTTTGCAGCAAACAACAAGTAGTTTCTCCTCTCTTATTTCCTTTTACAAGATTGTTATGAAACATTTGAAATCACAGCTCAAGGGAGCACCTCTTCAAAAAGCTCACCTTAATGAACCTCAGTAGTATTTTGGGGAGAGGCAGCTGTACCCATGTTAACATCTCTGTTTACAGATGGAAGAAATCTGAGGCACAAAGCAGCTCAGTGTTTTTCCCAGATCAGAGAAGAGCTGGTAGGAATTCAAATCAACAAAAACCACGTCAGAGTTCTAGGCTCAGAATACTTCAAGTCCACTGATTTTGTATTCTGTGTTTTCCATCTATCCCCAGCGTTCTCCCAGGGAATCTTTCTGCTGTAGACCCCGGGTCAGTCTGGTTTTCCTGTCTCTTTTGTTTGCCTGCTCTAAATATCAGCTGGAGCAGACAGAAGGTGATGATCCTCTGTAGTTCAGGAAAGGAGCAGCTCCGCATCATTCAGTTTCAGTGACCCCAGGGGCTCCTTCAGCCTCGGAAGCTCGTTCCCTATCCTGTCCTGGGATCGTTTTTGGGAAAACAGTCTTGCACTAGGATGACATGAACTTCATGAGATACCCTGTGGGTTGGTTTGGTGAGGGTTTTTTAAAGAGTAATTAACTTGGAAGGGTCTCTTGCCATCATCCCAGCCTATCTCTCATGGTAACAGAGCATGACCTTCAGCTTACACGTACAATCAGTTCTGAAATTTAATGAAGCTTGGATGTAGCGGCAGCTCCGCTGACACGCCAGCGGCGGTTCTTTGTTCTTGGAGCTGATTTAGTGGCCTCTGCTGGGAACACCCTGCTTGTCACTGATTCATTGCAGAGCAGATCAACAAATAACTATTTTGAGAAGAATTCTTTAACCACAGAACACTGTAGCGATGCATTTGAAAAGATTCTACCCACTGAAGCCAGCAAAAGGACACGTGTTAACCTCAGGTGATTCGGCCCTGGGTGTGAGTATGCCCAGTGTGACCAAGGATAATAGAAAAGGCAAATGAGTTCCTTTTTGAAAAACTTGTAGAAGATAGCGAAGAGACAGGTGTACAGTTAGATTGAACCTCATTTTCTTGAGTCGAAACCCAAATGCCTGCTTTTTCCTCCTGTTCTTGCTCCTGCCCTCTCCCCGGTCAGCAGGGTGGCTGCGGAGCAGGTGGCTTTCAGCCGGCGGTGCTGGGCTAGCTGCTGCTGTCACTGGGCAAGCGCTGAGGTGTCTCCGTGTACCTGTGCATGGCACAACCTTGTCAGCTTTGTTCTACCGACTGTCATTGCTAAACCCCATGAGCCACAACAGCACGTTCAGCCTTGGTTTTGTCATCGTCGTCACCATTGCAATGGTCATACCCAGATCCGTGGCGT